TTCAGAATCTAGTAAACTGAGTTTAATTTTTAAAATAGACTAATAAAACTTTTATAAACACTTTGTGAAATATAAAAAAGATAAAAAACTAATAATTTTAATTCTGACTAAGTTACAAAAAAATATTAAAAACTTATTAATTCTATTTATATTGAAAAAATTTTCTTTATACAACTAATATATAATTCAATTTTTTAAAATAGATATAGAATTAATATTTATATTTTTTTTATCAAAGAAAAAATTAAATTTCAGTAATATTTTCTTTATTTTTTAAAGAAAAATCAGAAAAAAACTAATATTTTAATAGAAATCTACAGATCTCACTAAAACACCTTTTCTATTAAAATTTAATCAAATTTAATTAATGTTTAAGTTAATTTTAATTAAGTTTTAATTAAGATCTATTAAGCTTATGAATGAATTAATTAAAGCTCAATTTTATAAAATAGTTTATAAATATATACTTAGTTCTAACTTGTCTCTATTGTCAGCTATACTTAACTAGTTCTAATTTTTATTTTATAGTCTATGAAGATTAGATGCAGAAATCTTAAATTACGTACTTTTCACTTTTTATATATATCTTTTCTATTTTGTCTAGACAAACTTTAATAAAAGTAGTATAAGAAAATACTTCATGTGAGGATAAAAAATCAAAATTAATAAAAATTTCAAAGAGCTCAGATGTGTCTTTTCTCATCAATAAGTTGATAAAAAGCTTTTAAAAACTATTTAAATTATTTTATTCTAATCAATCTTTTATTCATTCAACTTTTATATACTTTATATTAATTATTATAAATTAATAATAAAAATTATTAATGAATATTTACTTTTCAAAGAAAAATATACTTTTAATAATTAATTTTTCAAATTTTATCTGAATAATATGAAAAATGAGAGACTGATTAATTTTAATAAAAACTTTTAAATTAAAGTATTTTTAGATAAAAAATTTAAAATATTAACTAAATTTTAAAAAAATATTATTATATAACTATTTATTATTAATAATAATATTTAATAAAATTAAATTTTTAAAGTATTTATTATATTTAAACTTAATAGTAGATCTTTAATTATTATATATATTCTTTAAAATAAAAATAAAAAAATTTTTAAATCTTTAAAATTTTTATTTTAATTTTAAAAATATTTCTCTATTTAATTATTTATTATATATATTTAATGAATATAAAATTAATATTTTTATTAAATTAAATAATTTATTTTTATTTTTATAATTTTTAAATTATAATTTATATAAAATTTATTAAAATTAATAATTAATAATAAAATTAATATATATAATTTTTTAATTTTTTATAGAAAATATTTTAAATATATTTAATATTTTTTAAAGCTTTATTTTAAAGTATTTAGTAATAATTTATATAATTTTTTAACTTTTTTTATGATATATCTATTTTTAAATTTGATATAAAAATATATAAGCTTTATATAGTTATATTATAGTTTGAAAAAATTATTCTCTTTTTGTATTAAATATATAATAAATATTTAATGTTTGATTATAAAAAATATTTCATTTATATATCAATTATTATAGTTTAATTTAATTTTTAATAATAATATCTTAAAATTAAATATATTATTTTTTTTATTTTTTTAATTAATTAATAAATTAATATTAATAATTTTTTTTAATAATATTTTTTATTTTTAATATATTTATAAATATAAATATTTTTTATATTCTCTTATATTTCTTTAATTAAATAATACTATAAAATTATATTTAGATTTTTATTAAAATACTAAAGATAAAAAACTTAATATTTATAATTTTTTATTTATAATTTTTATTATATAATTATTAATATATCAAACTATAGCAAGCAAAATATAGTTATGTTAAGTAAATAAATCATGATTCATATTATACTTATAGTAGTTAAATTAAATTAAAATCTATATAAATTATATCTATAATATAATAATAATAATAATAATAATAATAATAATAATAATAATAAATAAATACATTTAAAAAGAAAATCTTTCAACTGACTTTTCTTGATTTCTATATATGACAATTTAAATAAAATATATTTAAATTAAAATCAAACTAATTAGAATGTTAAGAAAAAAATGAACTATCATCTTAGTTATCTTGTAAAATAAGCTTAATGAAGTTAAAACTTTCTTGTGTATGTAATAAGGACAAATCACTGTTCTCTATAAACTGCACCTACAGTGTGCTACTCGGTTGGGTGCGCCGCTTGGTTGAGAACTTAACATTATATTTTCAAAGCGTCTCTTCCCTCATAGAATTCCTTCCTAAGTTACCCAACTTTAACGGAATATTCTCATCCTCATGGATGTCTTCGGAAGCTTTCCAGTTATCGCGTTGGTTTAACGTAACATCCCCATCGCTTCCCAAGTTTGACTGCAATGCTTAGATCAATGGCTTTGGTAGAAATTGATGGAGAACACGGATCCTTTCAAAATAGTGTGATTCCTCTAACATTGTTGAAAGTTTGATACGTTCTTGACGCAAAAATGAGCAAATTTCCCAGATAAAGTGACTATGCCACAACTCTTTTCACCTATTCGATCCAAGAGGGTTATCAAAGCCCGAGTACCTTTAGGAACTTGGGATGGGAATAATGCTTCTCTCTCGGTTCTGTCTGGTTGGCTTAAAGAGGGAGATTCCACTCTCATTCTTCTTTAAAACCCTTTGTCAAGGGCAATCCATGCTGTTCAGTTTTCCTTTCTTTTCGGTTCTGTTCTTGCTTTTCATTTATTTGTTTTCTATGTTTTGAATTTTCAATATGGTTGAACCAGCGGTTGAACGACGGCATATTCATGGCCAAGAATCAAATATACCACACTGGGGATATTCTAGTCGTTCCTTACCTTGCACCAAAGACCCTGAATCTTGTTCTTATTTGGACGCCGTATACTGGATTCAAGATCTCTCAATGCTTTATACGTACGACCTCATCAAACCAAACAGCCAATACATATCTCAAAAAAATCTCTGAGGCTGATACATCACCCTTCAAACATAGGTTTATCATCTGGGCTGTTATTGGTGGCCTACTTTTATTTATCCTTGCTCTTCGACTGGTTAACTCCCTCGATCTAAGGAAGCCAGGGTCAAGGAGAGAACTCGAAGGCCAGACCCTGGTTAAGGCAAGCTCGTTTTCCAGAGCTTGGAATGCGCTCTCTGCTGGTGCTCGTCATTATTTACTGCCGGAAAGTCTCGTCAATTTCTTCGGCCACGTTACGCGGCTTCAAGTTGCTATTTTTTGCGGTATTCTTGTCTACTTACTGATTTTTACGTGAGGATTTCTTCGGACCTGATATAGATTCTACGACACTCGATAAAAACTGACGCTCAACTTTTGGCAGCCTGGTTGGTTCTGTGTATAAATTATGGCTCACTCCCGTCAAGAATTCTTCGTCATTCAGCACGCGGACTACTCTGGGGCCACTCGCGAATCGTATTGGGGCTTTCGCATTCGCGTTAACCCCGTTAACCATCATGCTAGGTACTCGGGAAAACATTCTCTCGCTTATCACGGGAATCCCATACCGACATTTCAACTTTCTCCATCGATGGATTGGGCGCATCATTTTCATCCAAACTGTCTTGCACACTGTATTCTGGACAATCATTCAAACGCGGCTCTACCAGCCGCAGCCGAAAGTGTACACCAAGTTCATCACGAAGAGGTACATTATTTTTGGTATAATTGCTCAGACTTTCATCACCTTCATTTATATCTTCAGCATCAATAGGGTTGTCAGATGGACTGGGTACGAATTTTTTAGAAAATCCCACTACATCGCTGGAGCCCTTTATCTGGGAGCTTGTTGGGGCCATTGGGCTAGGCTTAGTTGCTGGATGATTGCGTCCATTGGTGTTCTATTTTTGGATAGGGGTGTTCGTCTACTTCGCACCCTTGTCATACATCTGAACTTGAAGGACGAAAATAAAGGTATGACAACTTGAATTTTCGAATTTCGTCGCATGTCCCATCTCACGTTGAATCGGAAAGATATTTAAAGCCAAATGCAGGTATCGGATTCAAAGCCGCAGAGGGCAAAATTACATCCTTCGATGACGGTGATGGCGGAATTGTAACTAGACTTGAATTCAGACACGATCAGCCGCCCTGGGAAGCTGGTCAACATTTCTTCCTATGTTTTCCAGATATAACTGTCTGGCAGTCCCATCCCTTCACCCCGTTCCCGAAACAACTGCAGAACAATTCACAGCACGCATACGTTATCCGATGCTTGTCAGGGGAGACCTCTCGTTTACCACTTTTGGCTAGCAATTCATTCGGTGACATTACCATTCCCGTCATCCTCACTGGCCCTTACGGAACGCATGTTCTTGACAAGTCAACCCGGAATATCCTAGCAATAGCCGGTGGTACTGGCATATCCTTCGCTCTGCCGTTAGCAGCAGCAGCAGCCTCAGCGAGCAAGGAAGAACCCGACCGCCGCGTCGAACTCGTTTGGATAATCCGCCGCACACGAAACATTGAATGGGTCCAAGATGAGCTCACCGTCCTCCTTCACTCCCATCCGAAGAACGTGACTGTCCGCATTTTCGTCTCTCGCGAGCCTTCTATGGAACTAGCAAATACCCATTGTGCCGAAAATTCATCTCTCAGTGACGAGAAGACCAACCCGTCAAGCCCAACGGGGAATCCATCGTTCGTACTTCCCCAACACCCTAATCTTCACATCTTGTGGTCCGCAAAACACCACCCGGATATGCATGAAATCGTACAGAGTTTTATTCGCAATGAGCCGTCGTCGTCACCGTCGCGTTCGGCAGTTGCTGGCCGGGTTCAAGTGGTGGCTAGCGGGCCGGCAGAGATGGGACATGATTTGCGTGCGGCTGTTGCGGCGGCAAATGATGCTGGACAAGTATGGAAGGGAAAGGAGGAGTTTGATGTTTCTTTGTACTGGGATAACCGATAAGTGGCATCACTAGCCCTCAGGCTCTCACAAGAGTTACGTGCTTGGTATGGACGTCTGTGCAGTTATATATATAGAGGAATTTCTTCTCTTACTACCTTATATTCTTCTTTAGGTTTCTGTTGACTTTTCCTTGTGGATTTGTGGTGTAACTACTTTCATCACCGACATGCATACTTCTAGGGAGAATGGCTTGATATTGGCCTCTCCCAATTCTCTCATGGTCGAAAATTAGCTTCGTGACAAAATCAGGAGAGGTTTAAAAATACTTGACTTAGATAGTTATCAATTCTAGGAGTCGCTGCAGCTGTACGCAGTGGGTTAGTAAATTACGTCAACTTGTCCATATAGTTAGTTACCTAGTCAGGGCGTTTCAAAAAAAAAAAAAAAAAAAAAAGGGGAGTTAATGTTTGTAAGTAATTCCTTCTCTACGCCCACGTTTCCAATCCTCTAGGAATCTATTGGCCAGTTACTGATTTAACTGTAGTCAAGCAGCCGGTGTTTGATAGCGGTGTATAATAGCTAGTTTAAGTCTTCAGAGTTTAATTGATATCTCTCGGTCTTCACATTCCATCAAGTTTTTAGGATGCTTGCGGTTGGATGGTATCTCTTTCAAAATCTTCTTCTCATAGATATGTGCGCCCCATTTTGAGATGCACTTACACAAATGAGTATGTCCATAGATACCATCTACCATTCATGATGCATCCTGTCGACACCACTTCCTGGGGCGTATGAGCATATGTTCATGCATTCGACCACATCCATACACATGCAAATGCTGAAAAAAATTGCATATACTACATGTATATTACATGTACATGTCGTTATGCCGTGCATGCCTATTCTATAGTACTTATGTACCCAAGGACTCCTCAATAGTTACACCCATAGATAAAAGGTTAAATGACATATAGGCCCACGCAGTCAAGCATGAACCAGTTTCTATCACCATTGTGTTCCCATGTCTTTGTGTCCCCGCAGTTCATGTGGTGCCTGCACAACACTCCAAGAGAATGAGCAGTGGGTGTCTGCGCACTTGCGAACGGATTCGGATACCGCTCCCCAGTACGAAAATGAGCATCTGTTCCTTCGAGTCCACCAAATGGCCCGGCCCTATTGTCTCACCATCTGCTGTGCCATAGGTTGTGATGAACAATTCATCAAACACAACGGCGACGGCGCAGCCTACGACGACCCTTGCCACCGCTGCTGCATATGACCACCTATGTGAGAAGTTGGCCAAGGCTCAATTGACGCGAACGCCATTGAAAACTCGGGCCACTGAGGCTTTATTATGGTTGTAATGTATGGTTAGGTGAATGTATTCTATCATCCAACTGACTACGCTAGGTTACATATAACACAAAACCAGGATATGACTACTGGCCGGCACGATGTTTGACGACGGGCTTTTGTCCCTGCAGTTGGTAGCTGGTGAGGTTATTTGAGGCCAACATTGATGGAGGTGGAGAAGTTCTTGGTGTTTATCAGAGTGCTGATGTTGATTTTCGGTGGGATTGTTGAAGAGAGTGAGGCGGAAATTTCTGCTGACATGAATTTGGAATTGAGTAAGGAGAAGTTATTCAACAAAAAGCGCCTGTCCTGATGGCAGGAAGCCAAGTCCATATCGGAATTCTGTTGTTGATGGTCATCGTGGAGTTCCTGACTGAGTATCTTGTGTGCGAAAAACAGATGCTTGTTACTACGTTGCTCTATATATTAACTATTAACTGTTTATGCAAACGTTTGTGGGGATTGGTCGATCATCAGCTCCAAAACAGTAGAGTATTATGTACGGATAGATCAACAAGAAAATGGATAGAAGAAAGAATAAAGGAGAACAGGAAAATAACACCGACCATGACCCCGAGAAAAGATGAAATCCGTACTCTCATCTGACCCCTTTCCTAGCGAACAAAATGTATAATATTCCAAAACTTTCTCCAGATTGCCGTTATGGTAGAGTTTCTGGTCTGTAATCGGGTATTCCCCCCAATAAGTGAGAAGGAATAAAAGTATCAGCACATTTGGTTTTGTGTCTTGGATTTTAATTCTTCATCACCCAATTCACGAACCTGACGTTTCTTTGCCCTGTTTGCACTATTGCAGGTATTCACGGGAGCTTCTTTATGGGCTTGGGTGACTGGCTTTGTACTTGTTCCTCCGTCGAGTGCTTCTCTCATAGGCATGTAGTAATTTTGGCCCAACATGTGCAACTTCCGCCGATCAGTCTTGTTCGACTTTGTATGTGGTATCCGGTCGACAAGCAGAAAGAGAGTTGGTATTTGAATGTCTGGCAGTGAAGTGCCAATCACTTGCTTAATTAATTCGACTCTGGAATATGCGTTATGGTTCTCGTTAATCATTCGAAAGGTAATTGGCTCATTGGTACCAGCTTTACCGCACAAGTTCATGGGATTGACTGCGAGATAAAGGAACGCTGTTAGGATCGGACTCTCCACACCGTCGATGGCACCAAGTAAGTCCACCACGATGGAATCCCCTGGAGAAAGACACTTCCTTGCAGTGTATTCGACTTCGATGGCGTCAACTCTGCCACCGTCAATCTTCAGCAGAGTATCTTTTCGTCCAATATAGGTTAATGTGCCATCGTGGTTATATTTCACAAGATCACCGGACCGATACAATCTAGCGGAGGAAGTTCTCTCGGGATGCAATTCGTGGAGCCATTTTGGAGTATATTGTAGGAAGCCGGCTTCAGATTTCCTGGGTATTTGGTCAAGATACCCCCGGGCAAGGTGAGGACCTTCCATTATCATTTCCCCGACAGAACCAACGGGCATGAGGCGGTCCGGAGATGACGGGGAAACAACCCAAGCAGCACCTGTTCCAGTACGCCCAATATTCGTACCACTGCCCGGGCCCATGTTATCGTTGTAGGTACAAAAGGTTGCGACTTCACCCATGCCATATTGATTTACGAGTTTCACTTTTCCTGCCCATTTAGCTAACAGGTCACTCGAGGGTGGTTCGCCGCCAACGCAAAGTGTTTTCAAACCTGGGACATCCTCAGGACCCAATTGAATGGCAACTGTCGGAGTGAGGAATGAAACATTTACCCCCAGGTCGTTCATGTGCTTCGTCAAAACGTGAATCGCCTTTTGCGGGTGGGGAACGCAGCAACAACCCCCAACCGAGAGTGGCACCAGATAGTCGTTGTTACTGATGTCGAAGGCATAGTCATCAAACTGATACATCCGAGTGGTTGTATCCAAACCCAGGATCCGAGCGTAGTCTCGAACGGCAGTAGCATAGGTTCGGTGCTCTTGGATGATTCCTTTCGGTTCTCCGGTACTACCCGACGTGAATAGGATTAAACCTGTGGGGTTACATATAAAGTCAACAGACCGGAATCTAGATTAGTCAGAGTGGTTACTTACACGCGTTATTGGGTTGTACAGTGGTACAGGCTGGCTCGACTTTTTTGGGAAGATTCAGAATCCCCTCTTTGGACAACTCAATGATGCTCGGAACAAGCCCTTGGAACTGCTTGGAGAATTCAGCAACAGTAAGCATCACCTTTGGTTTGGCACGTTGGATAACGGAGTTTAAGTAGGCTGGAGGGTCAGCAGCATCAATTGAGATATAGGCTCCACCAGCTCGTAGAATTGCTAATCTTGAGACAATGGCCCATGTTGACTTTTTGAAACAGCTGAGGACGAAGACTTCCGGGCCCACGCCTAACTCAACCAGGCAATGGGAGAGTCTTGAGGTCAAGTCGTCTAGCTCTCCGTAGGTCAGGTCACCGTCCCATGAAACAACCGCCATCGCGCCAGGGTTAGTCCGACTGTATTCGAGAGCCATGTCATGAAGACACCGCTCGTAGGAGTCAGAGACATGGCTGGTTAACTGAGAAATATGTTCTAGATCATGTGGCGAGCACATGTTAATTTCCTCCACTGTTAGATCCGATGACATACGTATCGATGTTAAAACTTGGTTGAACGTATGTAGGACACTTGACGCAAGTGGTTCTGAGATGGTCTGGCTCGAAAAAAAAAGCTGAGAGTACAACTGGTCATCCTTCGTTTTCGTAATGTCGAGAAACACGTCCACCTAGTAAATGATTAGCAAGAATAGCGTGTATTTAGAATAAAACCCCACTAGGCAAAATCCAACAAACCTTAAGATCAATATCCAAAATTGACGTTGACGCGTTTCGATACCTAAAAGCCGTCGTATAGAGGTCATTCAAAACCTCAGTCCCGATATGACCGTCTTGGTTGGATACTGCACACTGACGAACTCCCCGCCCTACGGTTTCCAGTTTGTCTAGGACTTGTCGCAAAGTGTCATCAGGTTCGATGGTTAACAGCCTATTACCATGCTGTGCTCCCTGTTTAGTTGAAAATTCCCTCAGGCTTGATATGCCCAAGTCGGTGTCAGATTCAAATAGGAGGGAATTTGTAGAGGTAAAACAACGAGTGGTGAGTGCCCAAGCTAGCTGCAAAATTTTAAACGCATTGTCCAGACCAGTAGAATTTCCATTGCAGCTAACACCGTGTGTTTCTGTCTTCAACACGTCTTCAAGAACGTCTGATTTTTCCGACAATGCCAATTCAAGGCATCCTATTTTTGAGGGTGAATGCTTCGTAGTCTCGAGTGCCATGGATGATGTGGAAGAAGATGCATTGCTTGCGTAAGGAGTAAAAGTGCTGTTCTCTAGAACTGATGGAGCCATTGGGAAAAGAGTAAATAATCAATTTATGTTGGCAATAATTTATGTCATCCAGACAATGCAGTATCTGCTATCAAGAAGGAGCAGAGCTCGGTGAAAAAGGGAGGAAAAATTGAGAAATATCTCAGTCTAGGCATGACTATATCTCCAGCACAGCTTCAATGGTCTGTTTAAATAAGTTCTCAGCAATTGACTTCCCTGAGCTCGCTACTCCCGACATTTCTTCCCGAGCAGCACGCGGGAGCAACAACCAATGGATCGTCGTGACACGGCGTTTTCCCATGGCAGCCGGAGCAAGCTTTGCAGACTGGGCTTAAAAGGAGCTCCAAGTGAGCTTCTAAAGTTGTCGTAACAGTATGTCAATACGTTCATAACTTAAATTTTTTTTTTTTAGATTGGTTACCGATCCCCTCTCGCAGGACAGGGAGGAAAAACCGGTTTGGATTGTGCCTGCGGGACACAAAATGAGGGTATCTCATCTCATTTTGATTCCATTGGCTGGCTGCATCAGGCGGTGCTATCGGTACGAATTGTCTCGAGCCAGTGAGACTCCAGAAGCAGACGCCATGCCCTGTCTGCTTGTGCATGAACCTGTCGTCGAAATATTGAGGATTGCAAACGCACCCAGCCCGTTAAAAAGTTTTAGGGTTAGGTCTGGCGATCGTGGATGGCTTCACTCGGGGCTGGCTGGAATATCTGAAGTTCCATTTCCGCGAACTAGAGTTCGCAGGCTCCAGGGATTGTGGTAACTAGTCCTTTTTAGGCCCAGCTTATCCGGGATTGGATCGACGGGACTGGATCCACTAAGCAACTGAGTTATGCCTGATATGGACTAGTGTAGTGGCTCCCCAAAAGACTCTCCAAGGGTTTCCATCGATATCATTGGTTAGTCAGCAGCTTCCTAGCGCTATGCCGTTATGGAACTAGCGCTATGCTAATTCGAAAACTTCAGCTGACTGCAGGCGCACTTCACACCTTCTCTTATCCAGCCTCAATCCAGACTTCATCCTATGTGCACAATCTCATTCAAGACAGCCTTGAAACTGGGTATGCAGCTCTCTTACGCAGCATGTTCGAGAGGACCTTTTGATATACTGTCGGCCTGTGCTACAGCTGTTCTCCCGTGAACTGCGTCATACCATTTGGATTCGATTGACAGGTTCGTTGAAGCCCATTCGACTCGATGTCGAGCGGGCTCAGCCGCCACAAGGCACTGATCATCAACTGATAGGCAAAATTAGTCTAGGTTAGTGTGTAGTGCTTGGTGGAGGCAGTGACTTCTTGACCTCTCTTTTATACGCCTGGATCGTATCAGGGTTTCTGAGTGGACAGTTCTATTCCCGCCTGTCAACTGTGGTCAGTGTGAACCTTGTGCCAGTGGTGAAATGGCCGAAAACACCCCGCCTCAAACACCGTCAACCAACACATCTCTTTTTTGCTAAAATAATGTACTGCGTCATGAGGATTCACGACCTTGAGATAGTTCATACAGAAGATTCATATTTGCATTCTACTACTCTGTACGCGGATTTCACAATCTAACCAGGTACATAACTCCGTACAAACAGACGACGATAAACACTACTCAAGAACCTGTGCTGCATACGTTGTGGTCCATTTCAATTTCTCTTATTATAGCTACCAATACGAGCATTTCATGAAGAACCAGCACTAAGATCCCAGCAGTCAGACAAAGACACACAAACAGGTTTTAGAACTAAAATGACCACAATCATGCAGTCGGAAACAATTTACAATTTTGCATGCTAGAACTTCCCAAATCTCAATTTAATGCGACACTCCGTTGACTTTAGGTTCTCGATGTCCGTTTGTGATAGAACAATCTGCAGGTTTCATTCGCATTTGGCTGAGGAGTCTTGCTCCCCACTTTTTTTCACAAGATGGAGCAAATGCGCCCCAGAATTTCGGTACAAGTTCAGCAGCCTTCATAACAACTTCGAAGCTACGGAACGCCCTCTGCGCATGCGATTTGGGGACGTCTGCATTGGGGCACTCGAGTGACCTGCTAAATACCTCCATTGACACTGGCCCATCATAGCCCGCTGCGAGAATAGCCGCAATGATGAGCTCAACTGGCATGTAAGCTCCCCGTTCCTCTTCCATAGGGAACAGTCGGAAGTTCCGCGACCAAGGTAACAGTTCTGGGGCATCAGGATTTTGACATCGGGTCAAGTTCAAGGTTCCTGGTTCCACCAACTCCGCATCCGCGATCTGGAGGAGGAATATTTTTTCCGCAGGCACGGAAGCCACCATAGCTGCAATGGATGAACAAAGGACATCCAATGACTCTTCTAGCGTAGGGTAAATTCGTCCGTGGCCCTCTTTGTTGTATGGGTCCGCAAACTCAACTGCAAGCCAGTTGAAAGAATCGACAATTAAACCAACGTTTGGACGGTTTGCTGCACGTACAACCTCCCATGTGGAAGACCAGGTGTTGCGCAGCGCCCATGAAAGCCCCTCGTAGCCGATTCTAATCATCGGCCCTCCATCTTGTTTGGAAAATGCTGCTGCCATATCTCCTATCTCCCGCAAATCATTTGCGACGGTCTTCAGCTCAATTGTGCTATTTTCGGCTCCAACATTGGAGCAAATAAAGAGCATATCCGTATCAAATGCTCTCAAAAAAGGGAAGCGTTTCACCACCCCGGCAAGATTCAACATGCGTTGATGGGGATCCTTGGCTCCCTCGACTTGGCGGAGTGGTTGGGCGCAAACAATGGACATTTTCAGACTTTTCACCAAATCACCCAGCGCTTTGGCAATAGCTAGATTCTCGGTTGTAGGTTCCCAAATTTTATCGTCATCGATATTTCCAACATGGGATCTCAAGTATTGCGCCCAATCGTTTTCCATCAGGTCAATACATTGAAACCCAGCATCGGCCGCCTGACGGAATCTGTCAGGCAGGCTATGATACTTCCAGCTTCCGAGTGAAACCGTTGCAATTGCAGCACGATTCTTAGACGAATGTGGGCCGATCGCCATTATTGATAGGTTGTGTGCTGCGTAATGGTTATAAAAAAATTAAATTGTCTCAATTTCTTGACTTTCTTTTTGAAATGCGGCACGAACAACTTCATCGAGCAGGTTAAGGATATCTTCGTCACGTGGAAAGTAACTATGTGGTTGGGTATGGAACGACTTGGCCTGTAAAGAGCTTCCCGAGCACCAGCGTTGAGTTTCTCAATATTTTTGATAGATAAATGATTGCTTTGGAGATTATACAATTTTCAGAAAGCTGGAAAATAGGTAGGGAACGTGCTATTATATAAAGCATGGGGAATCCTGAATTCCATCAAGCCTTGACGTATGCCAGCGTGGTTTCAAGAAACACAGACAGCAATGAAGAACCTATGACAAAGCTCCATGAGTGCAGGTCTCGGAATCTGTAAGTGTGATAATCCAAAGGCCGACATTCGTCCGCTGGCTAAAAAGAATAAAAAGTACAGCCCAAACTGAAACTCTCGATGCATACTATGGACAACTCGAGCACTTGATCGATCCCTGTGCACACAAACGGAGAAGGTCTCTACTTCCCAGTCCTCCAAAGGAAAAAGTGTGGATACTGGATAGCTCTTTTCGGCGTGCCTGAACCCTTTAAACTTCAGTCCCCTTGCGCATCATTGGTATAAACCCCCTAGCCAAAATTACCCAGCTCGCCACCGCTTGAAGAATAGCTATGTGATCTCCACTGACAGCCTCAGGTAATATTTGTATACCCCAATAACTAATTCAATACGCATGGTATTTTCAGCCTAGAGTTAATAAATAATTCACACTTAGTGATATGCAATGAAAATGATATTATAGGGATGAATTCGAGTTTCCTCGTTATGATTTCTTTTTCTACTCTGGCTCCGGCCCCAGTTCCAGCTACTGGTTCATCCAACCAGTTTGCATTCCGTCCTTAACTACAAATCATATTACGGCTCAACAGAATGCGATAGGTGAAAAGAAGCTCTAAAATTGTGAAAGAGTTATCTACCTCCACTCTCCGTCCCCTTCCCCTACCCCCCCCCCCCCCCCCCCCCCCCCGAAAAAAAAAAAAAAAAAGGAAAAGGAAAAAAAGAAAATAAAAAAGTTACAAGAATACAAGAAAGAAATGGAAGCAAAAGTAACTACTAACCGTGCCACGCGCACTCACCATTAGTGAGTGCGCCCCACCATAAAGAAAATATCACCATAACAAAAATCTTCTAGGATCACCAATCTTCAAAAACTAATTAATAATCAACACCATGCCTATCTATAATATAATGATTATCTCTATACTCATTAGAGCGTGTAGAATCTCTGATAGATTGAGATTCATTAATAATATCATAATGTGATTGATTGGCATTTGATTTGGAGACTTTGATCTCAACTGACTGTAGAGCTCTATTTTTCTCTTTTATTGATTCCTTTTCCTTACAATGCTTGATCTTGTGATTGGCATCCTTGGTAGTAAGGACCCCCTCTACCTGCATCTGCCTGTGACTGTTTTTGACAATGTGACATCTATTTATCAAATAATGAACAAATAACTCATTCTCTCAATGCATATTCAATTCTGTCTATATCAGACTCTTCTTGAAGATTTTATTCAATTGCTGAGTCAGATTAGATGTCAGCATGTTTTTCATCTTTTGTATGATCTTATCTGCTATCTCAATTTGATAATATTATTTTATGACTATATCTGAGAATATCAACTAAGAATATGCAGTAGAAAATCAGATCTTAAATAAAGTAAAATTGAAGTAATATTCATCATTATTATTATAAACAAGCAGCTTTGAACTGTTATCTATATTTTATTATCTCAGATATTGAAAGATTACTTCTCATTTGATTGAATAGATTTCATGATTAGTAAATTCAGCTTTAATGATAACAGATTTGAAGATTTAATGATGATCACTTTCTACATTAACAAGGAATTGCCTTTTATTATATTGTTCATATTCATATTTAGTAGTCTCATTAACTGCTTTTATATGATAATACTTATATTACTGAAAAGATATCATCAAAAGATTGTAGTAAATAACTTATATAAAATGAAAATTTAAATACAATGATATTATGAAAGTTATAATATTGATAAAATTCTTCAGTAAGATGAGATTCATGATTATCACGCAGTAATAATTAATAATTGTCAATCTGATAGTTTTTTAATAACAATATTAAAATGTTTTATTCATTCAAATTCAATTTCATCAATAGTAAAGTTAGTATTAGTTATGATAATGATATAATCATTAGACAGATTGAAGTATATATATCAATCTTCTAGATGAATCTTTGATTTTATTATAATTAACAGCTTTAATACTGTATCATCTACACTGATATATTTTATCACTATTATTAACTTACAAAAATATAATGATTATATGACAGAATTTACATATTGATAAATAGTTATAACTTATTATCTATAATCTTTTCTTCTTTTTGAAACTCAATCTCATCAAAATTATAAATATTACTAATGTGAAACTTATACTGATTGAAGACAAATTCATAGTAATCAAATCAGTTGATAACAAAGCTTATATTCTCATTTGACACTTATTTTAAATTCATAAGTTTCTACTTAATTCTCTTATAACCTAGCAGATACTTTTGAATCAATATACTCATATCTTGCCTATAGTAGAAGAAGGAATGTTTGAATTGATATGATAATAACTTAACATTTGATTTACAGCAGCTTCAATATATTCAACTATAGAAGAAT